GATAGATAGATAGATAGATAGATAGATAGATAGATAGATAGATAGATCTTTATTAATCCCGGTGGGGACATTTGAGGCACATTTTTTGCAAATTAAACAAAAAACACTTTTTTTGGGGGGGGGGGGGGGGCATCTATTTCTATTTTTTAATGATTGACATTTAATCCTAGACTAGTTGAAGACAGTCATAAAAACGGTTTTGAGGCCCACACAGGGAATAGTTTGGGGTAAAATCCCTCATCAGAAAAATGAAGATGTTACATGTTAAATAAGACCTGGTGCTCTGTTGTCCCTGCTTCCCCCCAGGTCTCTAGGATTTTTCTGACACTAAGCGGATCATATTTTGATTCCAGCTTCATGTTTTCTGCACGAACAACAAATACAATAAGGGATACCCTAATAAGGGATTAGTTTAGCTCCTGTCCTGGTCGTGGACCAGATCTTCACCCTTTCATGGGAGTTTGACTCTCATCTACACGTGTTTTTGGACCTAGAGAAGGCTTATGATAATGTTCCCAGAGGTTTTCTGTGGGGGGGTACTGTGAGAGTATGGGGTGCCTGGGTTGTTTTTAAGGCCTTTCTGGTCCACGTGTAACCAAACAAACAGTTGTGTCCACATTCTTGGCACAAAGTCGAGCTCGTTTTCTGTGCAGGTTCGACTCCTCCCGGGTCTCTGATCTCGTTTGAGGTGCTCATGGACAGAATCTGAAGGTGCAGTCGTGGAAAAGAGGGTGTTTGGGTTGAGAAAACGGATGATGTGGTTCTGTTGGCATCTTTGGGCCAAGACCTTCAGTGTGCACTGGGGCGGTTCACAGCAGTGTGAAGCAGCTGGAATGAAAAGCAGTTCCTCCCAGTTTGAGGCCATGGTTCTGGACTGGAAACAGGTGGAATGCCTCCTTCAGGTCAGGACTTTGCCTCAGGTGGAGAAGTTCAAGCATCTGGTTGTCTTGTCCCTGAGTGACTGTAGGATGGCACAGGAGATGGATTGGGGCCTTGTCCTCAGAAATGAGGATGTTGCTTCGGTCAGTCGTGGTGAAAAAGAGTTGAGACAAAGCTCAGGATTTACTGGTCTGATTCCAACCCTCACCTGTGGTCAGAGGGTTTGGCTCATGATAAAGAAGCAGACCATGGATACAAACAGCTGAAATGAACTTCCTTCATAGGGTGGCTGCCGGGTTCATCCTTTGAGATAAATGAGGAGCTCCATCAGCCAAGGGGAGCTCAGAGCTGCTCCTCCTCCACATCTAAAGGAGTCAGTTGAGGAGGTTCATCAGATCAGGACGTCTCCTGTACGCCTCCCTTTAAAGTCACTGGAGGCATTGCACATCTTCGCTGACCTGGGAACACCTCGGGGTCCCCCAGGAGGAGCTGGAGGGAGGTCAGAGTTTCTCTCCTGGACTTATCACCTCTGTTACTCGAATAAATAAGCGATATGAGAAGATGAGATGGAGTTTGAGCTTCTTCAACAAACGCCAGTGGTCAGAACTCATGTTTAATCTGAGATTAAGTGCAAATCTACAAAGCTAATTAACGCCGAGTCATGTTAGTAAAACCAGCAGTAGTTCTGTTGTTCATGCAGCCACTATTACTCTGAACACAAGCTGAAGGAAAAGTTTGACCAATGACTGAAACATCTGTTCTGCTTTCATAAAGTCTCCGCTGCTCCTTCCAAACCTGGTTTTATTCCCAGATCCAGTTCTGCTCGTACAAACGTCCTGAGACCCACTCACATTTGTTTCTTTGACGACCTGTGGTCAGTAAATAAGACATTAAGGGAATAAAATCAGTGCAATTATGAGTGAAAAGAAAGTACTTTATTGTAGAAAAACAGTTTATTCCTTTCATACAGAGTAAGTTATTTTCATCTAGTTATGGACCATTTTATTCACGTAAAATATATAAAAAAACAATTTTTACCACAGAAGGCAACATGAAGCCATCACATTGTGCAACATCTCAACACACAGTTGGACAACTTAGCATCTTACCATCATATTGTTTTGTTATTTATTAATGTTATTCCTTGAAATGTTGCGTTTTTGGTTGAATATTTTTGTTTCACTACCAAGGTTTTGTTACATTTATCAACAAAACGTTTCAGTGGAGTCAGTGGCCATAACGCGCTCGGCTTTGGGGAAGCTTTTCACCACGTCTGAACTTCCTTCTCGGAGACAAACTTCCCATGAGGCTCTGTGGCTCCGGGCGGCAGCAGAGCCAGGTACACCGGAGTGACGGCGCCCTCGTCTGGTGACTTGGGGGCTTTTGGGCCAGCCATGTCAGTGCGCACCCATCCTGGACAGCAGGCATTCAGCAAAATCTAAGGAGAGTTAAAATTAAAATATATATATATAATAACCTGTTGGATGCTGGACACAAAGCATTAAAACTGTTCATTGCAGTTACCCCATCGTTTGGTCTCTCCTTGGACAGACGACGAGCCAGAATCATGGACAGCGTCTGAGGGGGAGATGAAGAGGTTTTATTTGTCTACAGCACTGGTTCAATATGTTCATCTCTTCGTAGGTGGAAGGTGTAAACCAGTGGTTCCTAAATGTTGTTTATGTCAGGTCTCACTTTTGGAGAAAGAGCCCCGAGCGGCAAAACCAAATTTTAACAACGTGTCAAATTCTCAAGAATTCACATGAATTGAATTTACATGAACAGAAATCTTTAAAATTTTATTAAATTCAACTCCGTTTATTTATAAAGCACCAAGTCGCAACATAAATCATTTCAGGGCAATGAACAGAAACACATAAAAAGCCAATTAGTAAAGTTTTCTATCTAAGGAAGCAGCAGATTGTGTTGAATCTTCACTTCATCTCAGTCTCTCATCCTGAACAAGCACAAAGGAGACAGTGGGAAGGAAAAACTCCCTTTGAACAGGAAGAAACCTCCAGCAGAACCAGGCTCAGGATGAGCACCCATCTGTTTTGACCGGCTGGTTTGAGAGGAACAGGAAGAAGGAACAGACAAACATAGAATGACAGGTCCAGGTGTATTTTCTATAGGAAAAAAACAAACTCACGTTAAGAACATAAATAATTACAAATACAAACAGGTAGAGCAGAGTAAGTAAAGACGGCAGCAGAATGAGGAAATGTGGTTAGTTTGCCCTCCAGCAGTCTATGCCTATAGCAATATAACTAAGGGATAGCTCAAGAAACCCAAGCCAACACTAACTATAGGATTTATTAAAAAGGAAAGTCTTCAGCCCAGTCTTAAAACTGGACCATGTGTCAGCCTCATGGACAGAAACTGGAAGTTGGTTCCACAAGAGAGGAGCCTGATAACTGAAAGATCTGCCTCCCATTCTGCTTTTGTAAACTCTAGGAACCGCAAGTAAACCTGCAGTCTGAGAGCAAAGTGCTGTTAGGAAAATATGGAACAATAAGATCTGTAATATAAGATGGAGCTAGGTTGTTGAGAGCTTTGTAGGTTATAAGTAAGATTTTGAATTCTATTCTGGATTTGACAGGGAGCCAATGGAGAGAAACTAAAACTGGAGAGATATGATCTCTCCCACTAACTCCAGTTAAGACTCTGGCAGCAGCATTTTGGACCAAATGAAGACTTTTTAAAGAAGTTTTTGGACATCCAGATAATAAACAAATTTAAGTCCCAGATGATCCCTCAATGATTCAGGTACAATTTAAGTCCTCTGAGAAAAAAAAAAAAAAAGAAGAAGAAGTAATTTAAGGCAGAGTCTGTCAGTTTGGAATAAAAAAATAAAAAAAGATTTGTTATTTTAACTGCATAATTGGTAATAAACAAGGCAAACTAGACAAAATCAACAGAATTTATGTTTAAAATGTAAAATAGATTTCATATTTGATCATTAAATGCTTTGGATTGGATGGAGACGGCTCAGCATGAGGGTGACAGAGCACCACCTCCATAGTCATAGTTTTTTAGCTAGCGCGTCTGTATTGCTTAGCTTAGCACTACGTCAGTGCTGGCAGTTGTCAACGGGTGGGGGTGGGTGGGGGTGTTTAGTAGGCAGGGCGCTCAGTTCTGTTGACAGGGCGGCGTGCCCTGCTTGTATAATGGTAGGGGAAACACTGCTACATATTTCAGCCTGAGGGGAAAAAAACATTAGGTCGACATCGAGGCTTGCTCCAGTTTGAGATCTACTCGTCTAAAACTTTCCTGACCTCTTTTTGCACATGTTCTAACAACCATTCTTACCGTCAGTCCCAGTTTGGACACTCCGTACGCCGTGTCCGGCCAGCCGCCTTGCTTGTGCTCGCCAGTCTTGGCCTCGTCCACAAATCTCTGCATCAGTCCCACCAGCTCGTCCTCAGTGATGTCCTCGCTGCGGAAACGCTGCTGGAGCTCAGGGCTGCACTGGTTCAGAGATCGGCAGCTGACGAAGCTCGACACGTTCACCACACGACCTAAAGACGCAACACAAAGAACGTCTGGAGCTTGAAACGGCTCTCCAAACCCCCGTCCCTGTCACATTATCATCATGTGACATCTGAGGAACACACTTCAGTGTCTTTCTGCACACGTTACTTTTAATTAAATACTAGAAAACATCTGGAGAACCTTCTACAGAGGCCGATGCAGCTACAGCCATCAAGTCAATTAGAAAATCTCCAATCTGTATAAACGGAACAAGACGGGTAAAGAGAAGCTAAATCAAATGTTAAAGTTGCTGCCAGTAAGGATCACCATGGTAACCACACACTCATGTCTTTCACTCCCTGATAGCACTCTTAAAAGACAGAAACAGACAATGAACGGTCACTGTGCTGAAATAATGTTTTATTGATAAATTCCATGGATAACAAGTGGCAGAGGCCGCATGCCATCACACGTTAGTTTATGTTTCGACTAGGGCTGTAAACCGAACCGAGGTTCTTAAATGGCACCGACCGAACTGCACCGGTCGGTGTATGGATTGAAACGTCACTCTTCTTTCAGTGTCAAGTTTCGGTATTGGCTGTAACGTGTCATGTGGTTTCAGCACGCAGGCAGGTAAAACACCAGACATATAGCAAACAGACTACGTGTTTACACCCAGAGCAGCCCTACAGGTTGTATGTCTATGGTGCTGGTGACGCCCACAGACGGGGTTCACGTGTGCAGCGTGTGTTGTCGAATGGCTTGAATTTATGAGCAGAAAGTTGCTCTGTGTTTTTCTGCAAGAAGAGAGGAGCGCAACATCCCCTCCTCCTCTCAGCATTAGGCAGACTGAACGGGACAGATTGGACGCGGCTGGCCGGGGTCGGGCTGCCTGCTACGGGTTCAGCGAGAGAAGCAGACCGCTGAAGCCCCGGAGCTCGAACGTCCATCATAAAACTAACTTTACCGCGGTTTAATGTGGTGCTATGGCTCTGCAGACATTGCACGTTGCTGTCTTGTTTTGTGATGTTTAGTGTAAAATACTTCCACACAGCGGACATGTTTAGATGAAAAGTTGATTAGCTGTTAGCCACAGTGCTACTCGCTCAGTCCTCACGTTGTAGCTGGCTGCAAACTATGAAATGGATTTCCTGAATGTGAGGTGGGTCTTATTACTCTGGGTTCATGAGACACGCCTCCGTTCAGGAAATCCATTCCATAGTTTGAAGCCAACATGCATCATGCAGGTTGGATCGGAAAAATCCGATACGTAAATTATGCTGGTATCGGAAGCCGATATGGATACCGGATGGGCTCCATCCCTATTTAAAAGTAAAAAGGTTTGCAAGCTAAATCATCCAGGTAGATAAATATAAAAAAGGTTAAATCAGGTCATCTGGATAGTTATTTTTAATTTTTTTTTTTTAATTTTATTTACCTGATTTAACCATTTTTTTGTTATTTAAAAGTAGTTTTTGTTTAAGATGTTGGAGGCCGGATGGAGATTGTGCAAGGGCCATTTTTGGCCCTCAGGCCACATGTTGCTCACATCTGGTCTATACTGTTTGACGTACTGCTACCAAAAGTGTTTCTTTCTCCAATGGAGCTGCATGTTTTAAAGTCTAAACAGCTTTATTTCAAGATGCAATTTGGGCTGGATTGGAATTTGGATTTTGTTTTTTCCCAAACAGTTAATTATAATCTATATAATATTTAATTATAAAATTATAATCAGAACATCTCGATAAAAATGAAGAAAACAGCAAATAATCATAAGGATGTTTCAATGTTTTTTTGCCATGTCATCTTTATCTAGTAATAGCAGTGACCCAGATTATGTAGTAAATCTTTCCTGTGATTTTGAGCAAACATCTTTATGATGATCTTTAAAATGTTTTATTGAACACTGACTACTTTTTAACTAAATGTTAATACAATCCTTGAACCAGAGCAAGGACAGGTAAGCGTCGTTTGTGTCCAACACTAACTTATGACTCATAAATATTAAAACGGCTCGTTATTGAAGGACAGAGTTGAGTCTAAACATTAACAGACAACTTAAAGACTAAGTTCAAGCTGATCTTTGGGTGCTTTGTTACCAGCGGCTGGGTCTTCCTGTCCATTTACACCCATTTGAAGTTAAATACAAAAACACTGAAAACCAGAGGACCTGACTGAAATTTGTTGGATTTTTCTACCTGAATTATTGAGCATGATTCACAACAAAAACAATGTTTTGTGCATGTTTCAGCAGATTAGTAATATTTAGTGTACAGCGTTGAGCTCGGTGGTTCTTACCTCCAGCTTTGATGAGTGGCAGGAAGTGAGTCAGCATGTCTCTGGTGGCAAAGAAGTTTGTCTTGAGGGTCACCTCAGCCTGGACAGCGAAAGGAGCCGTGTCTGCGACTAAAGAGAACGTCAACATAATGTAGAGTCATCGACTGCTGGGAATGAGCACGACTTTATACCAGTTTGATTTAATTTAACCAAGTCAGTCAATCCAGAAGGTAATCATCTCCTTTTCACTGTGAATGTGTTCATTTGTCTGTAGCGTTAGTAAAATATCTCAGGAACCAGTGGATGGATTCTAATGAAACTAAAAGATACACCTACAGCTAATACCGTAGTCAAAGCCATTCAAGATGGCCACCATAGCCAACCAACCTTAGTAAAGCACAAAAATGTCTATAATTCAAGTCAGTTTTACAGATTAACCAAATTCAAAATGGCTGCCAAAGCTAATAGAGCTTAGCCAACACAAAACTGTTCACGACTTAGTCAGGTTTACAGTTATTTAGCTGAAATTGTTGTGGTAGTAGCCAAGAGTCATTCCCAACAAATACGTCAAGAGCTAACGGATCACACATGAGCAGATAAGGCTGATAACATGTTGTGAATGTTTTTACTAAAAACACTAAACCACCCTCCTCCCTCGTCATATGATGACCTTGTTTAAAACTTTACCTAACAAGAGGTACACATCTGCTGAGCTGAGGGATTTAAAAAGTGAACGATAGTTTTTGAGAGGAGTGCTTTTCAGGCCTGGAACTGAACAGGGAATGTAAGTAAACCTACATGTTTTTGATGCAAGACATTCCAGTGTGTACGAGTTACATTGTGGAAAAGAACAGAGGGAGGTTTTTGTCTTGTTTGAAGCAAGGAGTGACAGATCCCGGTGGGTGGAAGGATCAGTTTTATCCACCGCCAATGGTGGAGCCAAGGGGTGGCCAATGGATTTTGACCTCGCAATCCAAATTTTGTAAGAAACCTTTCTTCACCTAGATGTACCCACAACAAAATGGAAGCCACTTATTTTTAGAGATGCCATGCTCACATCACGCACAGACAGACGGATGACCAGCCGGAGGGTATTTCCAATTCCCCCTCTCTGCTTCGCGACGGTTGACAATTAAAGGCCTAGCATGGTCCAAATTTAAATTAACGTTCTGCACAGTCTCACTCAACACAGACACGCCAGCAAAATCATCATGTGCTCGGACCCTTTCTGTGGCTGGTGATAAAACAGACCAGCAGTGTCAGAGGCGTGTTACAAGTTTTCTCTTAACTGAGTCACAGGATTCCCGTTTAGAGCCCAAAGCTGTGCACTCTCAGAAAAACAATAGACAGTCAGTGTAATGGTGCTTTGCCAGTGTATCAACTCTCCTCGGCTCTGCACAACATGGCACCAGTTAAAGGCCTCCCCTCCGTCGGTATCCAACCCACTCAGCTTGGTTCGTGGTTCCAAGTAGGGCTGAACAATTTTTGAAAATATTCTAATGGCGACTTTTTACCTCAATGTTGCGCTTTAATATGTGATTATTTTTCAATGTCTTCTTCTTTGTGTTGTGTTGTTTCTGTGTGTTTTGTATAGCTCCAGGATAGCTACTTGGCTAAAATGTGTGCGTGAAGTCATTCTGTACCGTGTATCCATCGTGTTTACCAAAGCCGTAAACTCAGGCTTAGTCACTATATTAATGGACATCATGTCTTTCGCTAGGCAGCACGGTGGCACAACTGGTAGAGCTGCTGCCTCTCAGCGAGCAGGTCCCTGGTTCAAACCCCGGTCCAGGGGCCTTTCTGGGTGGAGTTTGCATGTTCTCTCCGTACATGTGTGGGTTTTCTCCGGGTACTCTGGTTTCCTCCCACAGACCAAAAACATGCATGTTAGGCTGATTGGTAACTCTAAATTGTCCCTAGGTGTGAGTGAATGGTTGTTTGTCTCGTTTGTCTCTATGTGTCCCTGTGATGGACTTGCGACCCATCCAGGGTGTACCCCGCCCCTCGCACAGTGATTGCTGGACATGGGCACCGGCGACCCCCGTGACCCAAAAATGGAACAAGCGGGTAAAAGATAATGGATGGATGTCTTTTGCTATGAACTATGTTATTGCTCGAGTTATTTCTGTGTGCCATTTCAAATTATGTTCATACGGAGTAATCCCTTCGAACAGTTCGGTCAGTGATCCCTGTCAGCTGGTACTTCGTTTACTTGAAGTTGAAGAACTGGTCTTTGGTATTCTAGCCATGCAACTATCGTAAATGACTTTGTGGTGTTTTTTTAAGTGTTGATAAAGATTCGTGGTGTCACCTCGAGAGGTAGCAACAGCAGCAAGGCAGGTTCTGCACAACACATGTCGTTGGGAAGTGTCTTCTTTGTTTTAGCCAAAATAATTCCAAACAACGGACGTGCTGCCTCTTTGGTACCAAACTTCCAGATGTGTCAGCTTGTGTCGAGCCTGACACCATTGTGCAACCGGTTAAAGCGCAATGTTAGCTTCTTCTGCTCACTGCTCTGCTCCGCTCACTTGCAAGTGACATGACCAGATCACGTGACCAGTCAAATTGCAGCCTTTGCGATTAGAAAATCTTGTTTTATCATATCGTGATATTATTGCAAATGCAATTAATTGTTCAGCCCTAGTTCCAAGCGGACGGCTCCGAGGGGCCGATTTTGACGTAAGCAGACAGCAGCCGTTGATTGGCCAGTGGAGCTACGTGACTGGATAACCTGCCCAGGAAAACCTCAAACTACATCAGAACCTCCATCGTGTTGACGAACGGACGGTGCCACAAGAACGAGCACAGTTACCAAGAGATATTGAAGATGATGACGCAGCATGACTACACCAGGGCTTACAAGCAACGCTGGGATAAGCTAACGAAATTCAAACCTGATTATAGGACGATTAAGATCTAAATGGGAGGAGTGGCTTGAATATTAAAAGACCAGTTACGATCTTGGCTAAAGAGCAGGGGAACAGCTCAGCCTCCACTGTAGAGGCAGATCACCTACACCTGAGAAGAGCCGAGTGGAGCTGCACTTATCAGTGACAGAGCAGCTTAAGACAGGAAGATTTGTCCTGTAGAAAATGTTTTCCCATGACAGAACACGGCTTCAGTGGCATACCTTTGAAAGCAATCCCAGCGTTGTTGACGAGGACGTCCACTCCTCCATACTTCTCCTTGAAGAACGCAGCAGCTGAGATGACGCTGTTCAGGTCATCGATGTCCAGCTGACGGAACAGGGCCTTCAGACCGTCAGAGGCCAGAGACTCCAACGCTGCCTGACCTCGATCTCTGCAAAACATTTTAATTTACTAGCGTTTTTTAAATCCTAGTTAACTAAGTAATGAGATAATCTATTTGTTGTTTCTTCATTGTTTGAATGCTGAGTCATCATTCAGACGGATGCTTTCCTGTTTAAAGTTTCTTCTGTAAGTTTTTGGTATGGCATAATGTGAGCAATCTGAACCACTCGTATCAAAATGTTCAGCTCCTTGGGGTTTAATGTAATACGACTTTTAGTTTTTGTAAATTTTTAACTTTTCAAAATATAGAATTGTGTTTCAAATGAAATTCCCCATAGAAATCTATTGATATATCTTCAACTTGTTCAAAAATATTGTTCTTGTTGTCATCTGTTTCACTATTTTTGTGTTGTTTTTGTATTAGTTTCTCCTTTTAGCTTTAAGCTACTGTTGTGCTACCTTTAGCTGTCATTTTGTTTTTGCTTTTAGCTACAAATTTGCTTCTTTTAGCTTCTAGCTAGCATTCTGCACCTTTTAACTTTTACAAAGTGTTGGGATTTCAAAAACAGTTTAACTAATTTAGCTTTAGCATCAGTTTTGGATCAATTTTAGCTACTGTTCTGCTGTTTTAAGTTTGTAGCTACTGCTGTACTGCTGAGATTTTTGCCCACCTTTTCACTTGTTTTTTGTTCAGATCAGCCTTTGTTCTGCTCATTCTAGCTTCTTTACGCTTGTTTTACCTTCAACAACACAGTTAACTTCATCAAATTTCTAAAGAGTCACTAAGTATCGATAATCAGAATTCAAACTGTATTCTCACTCAAAACCCAGTAATTTTTCAAATGTTGACATCAAAAGTCCCTAAAAATGTGCTTAATTTCTTGTTTTCTCCCAGTTAAGAGTTTCACAGTAAGTAAACAAATAAAGTAAAAAAAAAAAAAGTAAATACAGTAGTCCCTCGCTACTTCACAGTTCGTTTATTGTGGACTTGCTTTATCGTGGTTTTTTCAAAATAAGATTGGACATAACACAGTTGGCTGATTGACGGATGAGCCGGACCATCGGCGTGGAATTTTTATTTAAAATAAATTTTAAATTATTTAGCACCTCCAGCAGCTTTGTGCAGCCCATGCTGCTGCAGTTAAACAGCTGATCAGATGATCAGCATGCAGCGAAGTGGGTGTGGCCAAGCACGCTTGCAGGGGGCAAAGAGCAGAGGAGGCAGGGAGCTGAAATCATAACATAATGTGCTCTTTTAGAGTATTTAGAGTTTAGAAACATTGTTTTGAATATTTCAAGAGTGTAGGAAGGGTTTTAAACACCTTAATATATCTATATAAATACTAAAATAAGCTACTACTTACTACTTGTACTATTATTCCTACTTCGCGCTTTTTCACTTATCGCAGGTCTTCAGGGTACAGATCCCACGAGATAAAAGAGGGACTACTGTAATTGTAAGTAAATAAATTAAGTTAAAAAATAAAACAAGGTATCAGTATGTAAAATGGACTGTACTTATAGCACTTTTATATCTGCTTTACAGCACAATCTGTCCCTTTATTTACCTCCACACACACATTCATACAGCACTCTACTATAGATCTATTCAACAACAATGCTCAGGGGGCCACAGTTTCTGAAAGCCAACAGCTCGGGGGCCGGACATCCAGCAATTAAAATCATTATGTAAATAAACCAAAGTTTACAATGATCTGTTACCTTTTAAATTGTTTATTTTATTGCATCGACTCATAATATGCAACAAACAATTGAACAGCCCTGCTCTACTACATCTCTACAAAGATAATCTGGATCTGTAGAGACTAATCTGAGCTTTAGATCACATTCATACACTGATGGGACACATCAGAGGCAGTGAGGGGTTCAGTGTCTTGCCCAGGGACACTTCAGCATAGGACTGCTGGTGGAATTCAACCCCCAACTCTCCCATTGGAGGATGATCACTTTAACCACTCATCCACATCTGCCCCATGTAAGTGCTGGTAAATAAATAACTAAAGTAAATGAAGTAGGTCAGTAAGTAAATAAAGTCAATAAAGTATGTAGGTTAAAGAAGGTAAGTAGGTAAATACAATAAGTTAGTAAATTAATTAAGAGTCGTTGGATTTCAATAGTTGGTTTTTTTCTTCCCAGTGCCGGTCCAACTGGTTCTAAGAGCAATGAAGTAAAAAGTGAACATAAGGGTCACATACTTGTGTCCCAACTGTGTGGCTGTCAGTAATGAAATGTGATAGCATGACTCACCTCGAAGCTTTTGTGTGTTTAAACATCTAATCTCATGACAGTGTTTGACTGAAGTCTTTCAATTGCTCAGTGTAAATATTTGAAGCCTAGTTTTCAAGCTATTTATGCTGCATTTCAATGTAAAAATTGGCATTAGCCTAAAAACAAGTGTCACGCCGAGACAAAACACAGATTAATTTAATATTCTGCTCATCATGGCAGGTTTAGAGCAGACCACTGATCCTGGTGAGACTTACGCATCCCTGGCCGTGAGGTAAACTTCTCCCTGGTACTGCTTGCAGAGCGCTCGGACGATGGCGAGCCCAATGCCTTTATTCCCTCCAGTTACCACGGCAACCTTGGCTGACATGTCTACACAGACAGAGAGATCAGAAGAAGAATCAAACAAATCCTCGTGAACAGAACAAGCCACACGCAGCTCATTCCTTCAAGTGTTATTTCATTTCAACCAACCACAAATATAATGAAAAAAATCTACTAATGAAAATCAGTCATTAATTTTTAATTAATTATTTAAAGTAAACCTAGCCTTGACAAAAAGGATAGCAGTCCCACAATACACAGGAACATGTAAGGCGTGTCCTGTCAGCATCTCATGTGTCTTCAGTCTGTAATCAGTCTGTTTAAATGGTGACAGGTAGTCACAGGGCTGTTTGGTGTCATGGTGTGAACCACTCTGAACATGGACCTCAGGAAGCTGAGGACAGAGTCGTCTCAGGAGCTTAGAAAAACATGAGATCGGTTAAGACTATAAGACCCTCTCCAAGCAGCTGATGTTCCACTGACTACACCTGCGCAGATTATTCAGAAGGTTAAGGTCCACAGGACAAGAGACAACCTCCCTGGACTCGTCCACAAGTGGACAACCGTCGAGACAGGTAATAGGAACGTTAACCAAACAGCTCAGAACAATTGCACAAAGTGTCTGGGATAATGTCATTTAGACTCATGAGACAAAACTGGAGCTTTTTCTTCCGATTTTACTTATTTATTAGTTTTATTGTTGTTGTTGTTTATCTTTGCTGTTTGGTTCCAACTTGTTTTTGAATGTGCTTTATGAATAAATTGACTTTTGGCAACAAGTCCCCTCAGCTCCATGTTCATCCATCCATCCAGTTCTGGGTGACATCCAGCATTCACTGGAGGGGTGGGGGACACCTGGACAGGTCTCCAGTCCATCACAGGGACATGGACACAAACAACCATTCACACTCACACCTTGGCAGTAGTAACATTTTATTTTTACATGAGCAATAGCAAATTTATACAAAAAGTGCAACTTTTCTGGTTTACAGCATTTATGTCTTTCGCCTGTTTTTAATCTGGAATCAAATTCAAGATTTGTTTAAATCTTTTGGCCTTTGTTTGTTTGTTTGTTTGTTTGCGAGAGGATTTGTTTGAACCCCTGGCTCGTTACATAAAGATGACTTTCATTTTCGCAGCTCCAGGTTTTATTGTTTATTTGTCATATGCATGTCAGCACAAGATCAACAATGCAATGAAATGTTCAGGATGAGAACCGATTCGACTCGTTCAATAAAAATAAAAAAACAAGCACTACTAAAGCATGCAAGAAATACTAAGTATTAAAAATACAAAATCAGCCTAAATCATTACATGAGCGTTTATTCAATCGTATAAAAATGTATAAAACTGTTTGTTTTTTTAACAAATGAGGTTGTTAAATGAAAGTTTCTTACTTCAGTTTGGTGTTGAAGCGCTGGGTGTGAAACCTTCGACCTGCAGCACAAAAACCAGAAAGAGGACAACGAGCTGCACTGCGCATGTCCGGAAAAACAAGTCGGTCACGTGGGCTCATAGAGCGGAAGCTTACAAATACGATTTAAGCAGCAGGTTGTTTTTTCCTTATTTTATTGCATGCAGGCACACACAGTTCAGCTTTATTGATAAGTAGTTGTTTTTGTTATGTTTTAATGTGAGGTTTATGAGCTGTTTTTACCGCTGCGTATAGAAATTTAAGAGTTAGAGAGCCGGGACACATTTAAAGAGTGAGCAGCATAATAGTTGTACTGAATTTTTTTCAACATCAGCAGAAAATGTTGCGGAAACGTCACGTGACTCTGGACAAAGCTGTCCAAGTGATTCAGTAAAGTACTAAACTGTGATTTTTATTGTTGTTGCCCAACATGACAATGACATAAATCCAGAATGCTCAAATACCAGAAGACATCAAAATCAAGAGTTTCAACAGGCTCACACATCAGCAGCAGATCATAAGGATGGACAGAAATATTGTACTAAGTTTTGTAGGAGTGAGTAACTGCTAGTTAATTTGATTAACTTTTGTCATACAAATATTAAGAGACGTCATTTCCTGCAAAAACGCAACGCATCCTTAATGATTATTGCTGAAAGCTGCTGAAGAAGCTGAAAAGCTGTCATCACTAAACTTAATGTGAGTTGAATTTGAACAGCTTACATTTAATAAAAGCGGCAGACAAACAGCTGAAATGTGTAGAAAGAAGCTAATCAGAGCATAAATGAGCAAAGTAAAATGAAATACAGTAAACAGGCTGAATATATTATACAAATCTGAAACTAGAAAAAAAAACTTAAATGAAAAGGGAAAGCTAAAATTAACATAAAAAAGGAGCTGAAACTAACAGAAAGAGGCTGAAATGAGCATAAAACTTATAAATCATTAGCAAGAATCCCAAAAGTCAGAAATCAAATCAGAAAATAAAGCTAAATTTAGTTAAAAGAGGCTGAAAGGAACAGAAAAAGCTTAAATTAGCAAAATGAAGTTAAAAGGAGCAGAAAAATAGCTGAAATAAGCAGAAAGGAGCTGAAGGAAGCTGAACTTGGCACAAAAAAGCTGAACCAGCTCAGTAGCTGAAAAGAACAGTAAAAGGTAAACAGTTCAAAGGCTTTGAAGGACGTGATGAGAGTTCATTAAAAAAAAACATGGCCAACAAAGCTTAAATATTTCAAAAAGTAAAAAATTGCAGAAAGACCAAAAGTCACAATTAGCTTCGTCAACAGATTGCACCTAAATCATTCAGCTCAGTTCAAAACAAACAAAAACAAGAAATCTAATTTACATTCAGCTGAACCAAACTAAACGAAAAAGAAACACGTTTATTCCTCGCAGGGCCTTGTGGAGGTCATGGGGGGTCGCAGCCACAGAGCGGGACGAGCTGCTCGGAAAAGGCGTCAGAAACGTGGAAACGCTGTTCGTTCAGGTGGGAAACATTAGCTGCAGTTTAAATGGTTTCAGTGCAGTGAACAGGCTTTAAAACTCTCCGTGTCTCTGTGTCCACAGCGTCTCTGAGTCATCAGTCGCCATACGTGAAGCTCATGAAGTTTCTCCACCAGCGAGGATTCACCTCAACGCCGCTGCAGCCGGCCCTGTTCACCGGTACGACATGATGTCATGCACTCCGTCATCAGCAGGATTCTTTATTCTCAACTTGTATTTGTCATTTAGACGTTTCTATAAGTAACATATAGTTATATAGTAACATATTTACTGTAACATATAGTTATATAGTAGCATATTTACAGTAACATGTAGTTATACAGTAACATATTTACAGTAACATATAGTTATGTAGTAAGTAAGTAAGTAAGTAAGTAATGTTTATTTATATAGCACCTTTCACAGACAATGACATCACAAAGTGCTTCACAAAGTAAAAGTAAATAAAATTTAAATAAAAGCCAGTCTGAATAAATAAGTCTTAAGATCATTTTTGAAAGAGTCAATGGAATCTGAGCAGCGCAGTGACAGAGGGAGAGTAACATATTTACAGTAACATATAGTTATATAGTAACATATAACATATAGTACAGTAACATATAGTTATATAGTAACATATTTACTGTAACATAGTTATATAGTAGCATATTTACAGTAACATATAGTTATACACTAACATATTTACAGTAACATATAGTTATGTAGTAACATATTTACAGTAACATATAGTTATATAGTAACATATAACATATAGTACAGTAACATATAGTTATATAGTAACATATAACAAATAGTACAGTAACATATAGTTATATAGTAACATATAACATATACTACAGTAACATATAGTTATATAGTAACATATAACATATAGTACAGTAACATATAGTTATATAGTAACATATAACATATAGTTATATAGTAACATATAGTACAGTAACATATAGTTACATAGTAACATATAACATATAGTACAGTAACATATAGTTATATAGTAACATATAACATATAGTACAGTAACACATAGTTATATAACAACAAAGTCCATGCTCAATAATCCAGGTATACAATCCAACATTTTTCAGTCAGGTCATCTGGACAGTTT